CAGCAGCTGCTAAAGCAGCAGCTGCCCCACACTGCCCAGCTCCAGCTTCCTGCCTCCAGCATGGCTAGCCTTTGGGAGAGGAGCTGTGTGTGAGAGGGCATGTAGAGCTGCCCCGGGACTGCCCCACTCTGAATAAGGCACTGCAATTTGGGAGGGCAATGCCCCCACAACCTCCCCCAACTTTGCCCATGGGCTTCCGACTTCAGCTGCGCCGGGATTGCCGGAGCTTGTGGTTTTAGTCACTCGGGGCTCCACCTTTAAGATTGGCAGCTTCTGGCTTCAACCCCATGAGGGGAGCACTGGGACTCAAGGCTTCAGCCATGTCCCCTGCAAGCTTCCTGTAACAGCTCGTGGGTCCCTGATTGTGATCCATTGCACTAGTGTGCGTGGTAAGTCAAGACAGGGATGGCAGGGTCTGAATAACAGAACTCGCTCTGCCTGGGGGGTCCAACTCCTGAACAAGAAAGAGAACGCCACCCCTTGAAGTACAAGGGGCACTGCCTGGAGTCCTAGATTTACACTAATCCCTCATCAGGTGAGGGATCAGAGAGAAGTCAAGGAGGGTAAGAGAGGACCACATGACTTCTAGGCGGACATGTGCCTTCTCCACATCATTGGTTCTCAAACTTTTTGGCCCGCAGCTCACCCTGCTCAATGCAGACCTTTCTGTGGACCTCCAGCCAATCACCCATGATGACAAAATGAGTGTGTGGGGGGGGGGGATGTGGGGTCTTGGCAGGAGGAGGATGCATGAGGGTGCAGGGTCTGAGCATGAGGAGGATTGGGGCACTTACATGGCTCCATGCACCTCGCCACTGCCAGGAACACCCCCCACCCCCCACACACACACACTCCCATTGGCTGTGATTCCAGCCAATGGGAGCAGCAGGAAAAACCTCCAGTCAAGCGATTTCCTGGGCTGTATTCCCCCAGCCAGGCAGCAGAGAAGTGCATGGAGCTGCTTCCTCCCGCCATGAGCTGGATCTGGTCTACAAGGCTTCAGGCTGCCCCCACCCAGCAGCAGGAAGCCGGTGCTGACAATCCAACCTCCCGGGGGGAGGAGCCCATGGGGCTGGAACACCACTGCGGGAGGGGGAGAAGCCCTGAGACCCACCTGCAAACAGTCGCAGACCACTAGCGGTCCAGGAACTACACTCTGAGAGCCATTGCTCTCCAGGCACACACTGCTTGGCACAAATCAGAGGGTAGCTAAGGCCTAAAATAAAAACAGTCCCTGGTTACACAGGCATTGGGATCGAAAACACTCTCTTCTTATCCAGGGAAGAGACCACAAGTAATAACATTACTTATGGAGAGCAGCAGAGCTATCTACACATCACCTGCCCCCTCCAGGGCAACATCTGACAGGACTAAACTTTTTATTGCAATGTAACAATCACTGTGAGTCAGTTCTTTCCAAAAAGGAAATTTAGCCAACCGAGAGAGCGGATCTGCAAATCCCAGAACATGAATCATCAGAGAAACTTCTCTCCCGAAGAAGTCTGAGTCCCACCACACCAAACTACCAGGCTCAGGGACACTGAGCACAGCAAAAGGGAGAATTACAGAGCAGAGAGACAGAAGGCTGCAATCAAATGCATGCTTTTTGCTGTATTTGAGGCCTCTATGGCCAAGGGCAGCACCCACTGGAGCTAAAGTAGCCATGTGAGTGGGGCCAGTATTATAAAACGTAAGGTACTTTTTCCACAAACTCTGAGAATGTCACGGGCCTGCTCCAGTTTAGGAGCTGAACTGAGCAAAGGCTGCAAGGGGAAATATCCTGCTCCCAGTGAAAAACAGACACACTGCTTTAGGCACAATGCACACCAAAGAGCCTGGTCCTTATGAAAAACTGACAAAGATGATCAATGCTATGGACTCAAACAGAGGGGTTGCAGAGCCTCCTGCACATGACAGCAAGGGCCAGAGCAGAGCTGGGGTAAGCAGATGCAAATTCCACAAAGCCAAAGACAACTGCTCAGTCTCTAGGATTCTCCGTAAGGGTTCTAGAGGAAAAGGAACAGTCTGTGGACTGAAAGATCAGCAGCTGTCGTTTGGGATCCAGACCTGTTTGTGCACGACTCTCTGTGTGTCCTTAACCATCATCCTCCTCTGCTCCCATATGATGCTCCAGCCACAAGGAGCGGACTGACCACTGCTGGGATGTCAGAAGGATTTAGGGAAAATGTTTGTGGCAGCTGGAGTCAGCTGGTCAGTCCATTGGGAGCTCCCAGACCAAACTGCCAACAGCTCTCTGGAAAGGAGATGGGAGGAATTCCTGCCTGTAACTGCCTTGTTCTGCTGCCCACAGGGCTGTTGCTGGGCCCTCGTCCTCCTGCTGCTGAGAAATCCTGGTCAGAGCCTGTGGCGACCACTTTCTCCAAAGCCACAGACTCCTTTTAAGTGAGGCACAGAATAAAGAGACACTGGCTGGCTGAAGGGAGGACAGGGAAGTATCGAGTGTGCAGTAGTCCCTCCCTCTCCCCGGGGATATGGAGAGCCATGAGTGAAGGGGTGCAGAATCAACTGATGGCCAGCACCATCGGGGAGAGAGGTAGGCAGATGCAGAGCTAGGTAACAGGAGCTGATGGGGACTGGGAGCAACTCATCAGCTATCTGCAGGAAGAAACAAAGGCGGAAGAGAAGCAGAGAGTCAGAGGCCAAATTGCCCTGCCTCATCTCACTGGTCCATCTGTAACAGGAGGCTAGTGGGGACACATTGCACAGTTACAGTTCACACTGAGGTGATTCCACCAGCTCAGCTTATGACGGTTCAATTCTCCTATGAAAATGAGACTGCAAAGAATCCAGATCTCCCCAGACTAGATCCTCCAGATCAGCATGAATGGGCCAGGACTAGGGAGCATGGCACAGGCCACAGGAGAGATACTTGTTTGAGTAGGTTCTAATCCTGCTGATCCTCTTGCAGAGACCCTCATTTCAGCTGCCCAGAGAAACACAATGGCATGAGAGACTCACAGGAGTAAGAGCATTTGGGAAGGTCTCTCCACTGCAAAACATAACTGTCTCTGAACATGGCTGTCGGCCATCAGATTTACTGACCCAAAGCTGAACTTGTCTACATGATTTCAGCATCAGGACAGCTAACAAGATTGCTGACAACCATGCTGAGACAGTTACATTTCATAGCAGGGACCAGCCCTTGGAGAAGCTGATGAAAGCTTGAGCTGTTTGTTGCCCTTAACAAGAAAGTGTGCAATACTGCCATTTGCCAACAGGTCTTCTTGCTCCCAATGGACTTCTAACCTTTAACGCTACCACATAAAGAGCTTTTGTTTAAAGAACACCAGTCCTATAAGTTTGATGGCTTAAGTCTTTGTGTTTCTAATCTAACACACTCCATTAAATCTTTCTAACTGCCATGTGCAGACACTTTTGTCTGGTCTGTACTGGGAATTATAACTGGTTCTAAAATTGCTTCACTAAATTGACGTTAAACCCAGACATTTCCACAAAGTAAAAACTTTGTTATGAGCCAAATAAGGAGAGGAAGATTTTAATCAGAAAAATGTTAATGATACAGGCAGTCCCCGACTTACGCGGATCCGACTTATGTCGGATCCGCACTTACGAACGGGGCTTTCTCGCCCCGGAGGTCGAGGTAGCGGATTGCTACCTGCGAGCTCCGGGGCGA